GTTCAGGGGCTGGCGCCCTGCGCCACTTAGTGTGCCAGGGTCGCTAGGTCCCCTACTCTTTAATCCTTCTTTTCATATGAGTTCCCTCGAATCGTACCCATGTATTCTAATTGATCTCTACACTCTAAATTACATCTAAACATCGAGACATCATCCATAAAATGAGATCATAACCCTTGAATCCATAATCAAATTCAAGGTAAAGTAAAGAGTCAAGTCTTAAGAGTTTCTTCGAGTCTTTTGCAAAACCTTTTAATTTTTTTTTAAGACTTGAGCATTTGAGTTTGAGGAAGAGTAGAGTTGTGTTCATTTTCTTCAAAATGATATATGGGAACTAAGTATTCCCAAGAGTAAATGTTTTTACATTTAAGATGAGAAGAAACACCGATTTCTAAAAGAGTTCTTGAGCAGTTTTGAACAATATCTCTTTTAAGAGAAATATTTTGAGTAATAATCTCAAACCAGAGAAAAAGTTATGTTTTTAAACATATGAGATAAGTTATATTTTTGGGAGTAGTATTGACCACCGATATGGAGACGAGTTTAGATAACTCAAAGTCCTCATAAACCATGTAGCTAACGTGGGTAGAAAGGGTCATACTTTTTAGATGATTCCTTATTGCTTTTAAGCATAGACTAGTGGATCCACTTAGTTAGTAGGTCCTATACCCCGACAAAGTATAAGACAAGTTTGGCAGCGTGAGCTAGACATTGTATCATCAAATAGCTCATAGTGATGGTTGTCGGTTAGATAATCTCCCACAAAGATATTTTGTATTCTTATATACAATAGAGTTATTTTGTATTCTTGCATACAAATTGAGTTATATTGTATTTTCTAATATATTGAGTTATTGTCTACTGTTTTAAAAGTTTTTCTTTATAATGCATCTTTACTACTGCTTTATATTGAAATGAGTTGAGTAAGTTTGAGTATCCATAAGTTTAGTTGAGACGATGTAAGTTGTTTCTTCAGTTCCAGTTCAAGCTTATGTCTTGTTTAGATTTTCCCTTGCATGCTCGTACATTCCATATACTAAAGCCATTTGGCTTGCATCTTTAATGATGCAGATACATGTAATCAGGATCATCAACCGGCGCTCCGTTAATCCAGTCGTGTTCCAAAATTGTTTGGTGAGCTTCCTTGCTTCCGGAGGGTCTCTTGTTTATTTCTAGTTATTTCAGTTTTGTTAGGATGATCAGGTCTTGTCCCGACATCCCTCATAGTATTAGAGGCTTCATAGATAGATAGGCAGTAGTTCATGAGTCTTTTCATTTTCAGTTGTTTATGTTGAAACTTGAGTTGCCGCTTTAGCTAGTGAATGTTTTACTTCTAAAATATCTGAGTTTATCTTTGAGGCAATTGAGTAAAGCTTCCATTTGAATTTATTGTTTTATGAGTAAGTTTTCCGCTAAGAGTTAAGCCAGGCCAAGGGTTCACTTGGGGCCAACAATGGTTCTCGAGTGTCAGTCACGTCTAGGGTGTAGGTTCGAGGCATGGCCAATTTGGTATCAGAGCCCAAAGTTCAAGAGCCCTAGAGTGTCTATGAAGCCGTGTTTGTAGAGTCCTAGTTATCGGTGTGAAGCGCGGCACATCTATAATTAGGAATCTGTAACATTTAGGAACTATCTCACTTTTTCATACTCTTTTCGTTCGATATAGTTCATCTCTATAAGTTTATCTCTAATTCATGCTTATGCGTATCTTTCAGATCATGCCTCTACGAAGAGTTGTTGGAGGTCGTCCCGCTAGGAGGAATGTTGAACCACAGGATCAGGGGTACCCAATGCACCAGAAGTGCAACCCCAAAGAGAGGTCACTAATGTTGAGTTCCGGGATGCTATCCGGAAGTTGAGTCAAGTGGTGACCAACCAAGCTGGGCAACAGAGAGAGGTTCGACATGATGTGACTGATAAATCCAGAATTCGAGAATTTTTAAGGATGAAATCTCCGGACTTCACCGGTTCAAGTGTCACTAAGGATCCGGAGAATTTTATGGAAGAGTTGCGGAAAGTGTTTGAGGTGATGCACGTGATAGATGCTGAGCGAGTGGAACTAGCTGCATACCAACTGAAGGGTGTTACTATAGTGTGATTCGACCAATGGAAGAAGGGTAGAGCTGAGGATGCATCAATTGTGAGCTAGGCAGTGTTTGAGGAGGCCTTCTTGGGGCGTTTCTTTCCCCGTGAGATAAGAGAGGCAAATGTAAGAGAATTCCTCACTCTTAAGTAGAAATCTATGAGAGTACGTGAGTACAACCTTAAGTTCACCCAACTATCCCGTTATGATCCGGAGATGGTTGTTGACATGAAGAGCAGGATGAGTCTGTTTGTTGTTGGGTTGTCTCGTTTGTCAGGTAAGGAAGGCAAGACAACTATGCTGATAGGAGATATGAACATAGCAAGACTGATGATCCATGTGCAACGGTTTGAGGAAGAAAAGCTGAGAGATAGAGAAGAGTTCTGAAACAAGAAAGCTAAGACTGCAGGAAATGAGTCCGGACAACAGAAGAGTAATGCAAACCGGTCATCCTTCCAGCAAAAGCAGAAGGGACCTGCTCCATCATCTACTCGTGCACCTGCACCAAGGAACAAAGGTGAGTTTAAGAATCAAAGTTCACAGAATTTTAGAGCTAGACTTGCACAGTCTCAATGTAGTGTGGCACAAGGAGGTAATGGGACTCCTGAATGTGCTAAGTGTGGTAGGAACCACTCAGGAGTGTGTCGTGATGGCTCCACTATTTGCTACAAGTGGGGTCAGAATGGTCACTTCATGAAAGAGTGCCCTAACAACAGGTAGGGCGGTGGTAATGGTGGCAATAGAGCCCAATCTTCTTCAGTGGCTTCGCCAGACAAAGCTACACCTAAAGGAGCTACTTCAGGGACAGGTGGAGGAGTAAACCATCTTATGCTATCACCAGTTGCCAAGAGCAAGAGATTTCGCCAGATGTTGTCACCAGTATGATCAAAGTCTTTACTTTTGATGTATATGCTTTGCTAGATCCAGGAGCGAGTCTATCTTTTGTGACTCCTTATATTTCTATGAATTTTGATATTCTTCCTGAGAAACTTCTTGAGCCCTTCAGTGTTTCCACACCTGTTGGTGAGTCTATTATAGCTGAGAGAGTTTATCGTGATTGTGTCAATTCTGTCAATCACAAGGACACCATGGCTGACTTAGTCAAATTAGACATGGTAAATTTTGTGTGATCACTGGTCTATTATCTCTTTTCCATGTATCCAATTTTGCGATACAAATGATAGGATTCTCTAGTTTCTAGGTTTGTTCTTCTTTAAATACATTTGTTATTTGTAGTTGTAGCATGTAGTAGATATCGTTTCACTTAGCTGTTGCATTTAAGCAAAGATTAATAGTTGTGAATTGCTTCTTTATCTTTGAAATTATCTTTCTCCTTTGCAAATTTTGGGTTTATTAATTTCAACTTACAATGATCTACATGTTCTTTGAGTGTTGTATTGGATACATATTAGTTCACTGTTTTATATATATATATATATGCTAAAATTGGTGTGGTTATTTTGTTACTCTTATTGTAAGTAAGTGCTAATGTTTATCATTTATGCTCTTTTTCGCATGAAATCTGCCCGAGTTCATCATAAACTCATATCTCCTATCCTTGCCTCTTGAGTTGAGTCGAAACTCAACATTTCTCTTATATCGAATCAGACGGGTCAATAAAACCGATGAACAGGGCAGTGAAGGCAGTATACAAGGCTGGAAAGCTGAAATACAGGGCAAGCGAAAAAAATGCAGGAAATCGAGCAGATACATGTTGTATACATCCGTATACATTAGTATACATTTGTAAATAGGCAGTATACACTGATGTACAATAATTGTATACAATGGATACATGGACGAAAAATGGGTCAGACCCAAAATAAAGTGCAACGGCAGTTTTAAAAGATTGAGTTATTTAGATTACGACAGATTGAACTAAATTGGGCCTGCCAGCCCAACAGTTTGAAACTTGGGCAAGGGCCCAAGTTTATGATCTCCTTTCCCCTTGATTGTATTTGATTTATTTCTTGTTTAACTAACTTCATTTGTTTTGGTTTTAATTTAATTAACTCCCCAAAAAATAATATTTTTTATGTTAATTGAAATAATTAAGTTCTTATTATTTCCTTACTTTGTTATTTATAAAAATTGTTTCCCTAAAAATTATTTTTTTAATACATTTCCTTTCAAAATATATTTTAAAATGGGTTTTTCTTTACTTAGTTAATTTTCAAAATTAGTCAAATATTTAGTCAAGTCATAGGTTAACCACACGTTAGCGGACATTTCAAGGGCCTAACACTTTCTTAAAGTGTAAATTGAACCCCGAACCTCCTTTGATATTTTCAAATGATTTTTCTGCTTAATTTTCTTTCAAAAAATTAAGTGACGATTCTCTTTTAAAATCGATTTTTCTTTACAAGTTAAGTTGCATCGATTTTTATAAAACTAAGCCTTTTTATTTCTTTTTTCGATAAAACAGACTGAATTGAACTTGTATCTATTATGAATTAGACAATTAATTCAATAGTAACAAATCAACCAACATACTTCAAAATAAGTTAAAACTTTTATTTTAAAGGTGTATTACACAAACACTAAAGTTGAATCAGAACAAAGAGAATTAAGCATGAATTAAACAAGTAACTAATGACATGCAATCAAATTCAAACCTTTGAACCTTTCAAAACTTCAAAACTTCAAACTCTCTGCCCGAAATTGATCACTAAATACACATCGTTGAAGGTAAGTATAACTGTAATTGTGAAGAAAATTGCGAGTGAGAAGCGGCGAGAGAAAATCGCCAGTGAGAAGCCGCGAGAGAAACGTTGGGAGGGAAAGATTGAAAAAATAAGGATGAAGTCAATTTAATTCAACCAAATTGCATATATGGTTAAAAAATATAATGTTGCCAAATGTTATAAATATTTTTTAAATAATGCACACGTAAGTGATTTACCCATAAATGAATGGGCACCTCCAAAATCAAGAAGACTACCAATATTTGAGGAGATATCTACTTTCAAAGGCCAATTGGCTTGCTGATTGTTGTCAAGTAGTTAGTAATAGGTGGGTGTTGGATAGATAGGTGTGAAATATGAGTCATTTGAATTAGGTGAAAATAAATAAATAAAAGCCTGTGAACTATGTAAATTATGATGTAGATGAGATTTTGTGGCAAAGTTTGGGAAATGAACTACTCTATTTTTTGGTTGTTGCTGTTTTAACCTTCTATTATTTGAAATCTTTAAGTTTGATTAATTCAAAATTGTGTTGAATACATCTTTTTTAAAGAAGATAAATCATTTCCTGCCCACAAAAAACTGACAAATTCAATCTAATCAACCCCCCACCCCTCCCACAATATTTTTTTAAAAAGTTTGATTTGACTTCTAAAATTAAAAACCTATTAAATTTGGTTTGATTTTGATTGAAGTAAAAAAGTGATTCAAATAAATTATATTGATGCTATTTAGAAAAGAGTTAGGTGTCAAAAACACATCTAAACCATTTCTTTTTTTGAGTTTCATTTCTAAACTATTGGGAAACCATTTCTAAATTATCAGCCATTAGTTTGAGAAACACACTTAGACAATATCATAGTGTTAGATACGACCATACGTTCTTATCAACACCACACAATCCATCCAAATAGAACCTTAACTCCTGAGCACAACTATGTTCTTCATGTTCGGATCAAATCACTCATTTTCACTGGATCAACCCTTATATTACAAGGGGTTACACATGATCTACATGAAAACATTATCGATGATAGAGATATTGTATTCTTGATTCTTTTTTGCAAGAGTTACTTATATTACAAGGGGTCATCAACTAAATACCTTTTCTGTTTACCATCGACCACAATATGAATGGTTAGAGACATACTTAAGGTGTTTTTGTGCGGAAGACACTTTTAATTCGTCTGATTATTTATCAATGACAAAATATTGATATAACACATTTTACTATAGTGCAATTCAGACAACACCGACCCTTTATGGAATATCCCCCTAAATTTTGCCCGATTTATCATATCATAGCAAGGAATTTTTTACCAAACAAATTCATTATTTAAATCAATTCATCAAAATAATACATTTTGTTAAATTTTACAAAATTAGTATAAACGTATTTCGTGGTAACGTTTTAGGGCATACTTTCTTTTTAAAATATTCAGTTGTGTTAAATATTGTGGTTGGCGGTGTTAAGTAAACGTTACTATGAGTAACTTTTTAAGCCAAATATGTTACTCTGAGGTACATTTTACACCTAAAACATTACTCACAATTAGAGTTGTCAATATGGGCTGGCCCACCCCATCCGAGCCAACCCATACATGCTTAGAAATTCGACGGGCCAGGCAGGGCTAGCCCATTTTTTGTGTGGGCCAAAAAATGGTTTGCCCAGCCCACAAGTACGTGGGCTACGGGCTTTTCCGGGCCAACCATCTTTTCTTAAAAGTATATTTTTTATAATTTTTTAAATTAAATTATAATTTAAAAATATTATTATAAATATCGACAATGGTGTTAGTGTTAGTATTTGTTAATCAAATGCACAAATAAAATTATCTTTATAATATTTATTAAATTTGATTTCAAGTAAAAGCAAAAATGGCTAAATAGAAATATTAACCTAATTGTTTTTCAATGATCATAATAAAAATCTCTTTTCTTAAATGGGCTCCAAAAATCATAGTCTAGCCCTATCAAATCACGGGTTAGGCCAGGCCGGCCCAACGGGCCTAACCCATATTGACGGCTCTACTCACAATAACGTTTCTTACGAATCCAATCACAGGCCATCAAATCCTACAACGTTGCAAATTTAGCTATTAAACGATACTATTAGTAACATTTTGACTTTAAAATGTGACCGTCAATTACGACACTATGTCAAAGTCACATTCCTCCATTTTCCAAACTAACCACATATGATTATAAAATAAATTTTGTTGTAAGGAATATTTTGCATATTCCAACAATATTCAACAAAGTTTTTACTTGTGTAGCCCATTGTTGAAATAATATTCACAAAACTTCATCAGGTATGAATTAAATAAGTCAATTTAATATATCATACTATGTTAATTAAGTTCTTAATATAGCTTTTTTATTATTTATTTATTAATATTTTAAAAAAAAAATGTCTTATGTTTACGTGTAGGATAAAAATGACAAATTTTGAACATAATGTGATAGTTGTTTTGTATTGGAGTGGTTAAATAATTACTGATATGAATAGATTCAGGTATACTGAATGTGCTAGAACGATTATTAGCATGTCTACCTCAACTAACTATGTTGAATTGGTCAGATTATTGCATGAGAAAATGGGAAAACATAGTGAAAATATTCAAATGGATATTTCTGGAAGATATCCATGTTCAATTCAAGGAAACAATACAAGGTTCATTGAGTTTAAAATTGAGAATGATCAATCTTTGTTACAATTCTTTTTTATATAAAAAGTTTGCCGGATTGATATAAATATTTTGGAGATGTTTGTAAAGACCAAATCAACAAATCAAAATGTAGTATTTCAAGTTAGTGGCCATCATGGTTATCAAATGAATCCATTGGCTCAAAATTATGGATTTGTCACGGTTAGTCAATCTCATTTTCCAGAATCGATTGTTCAACCATCATTCCAAGAATTGTCGATGCATGACCATTGATCATTTGATGAAGGCTCAAGTAGCCAAATGTATATTGATTATAGTCACATGGAATATAAGGTCATGTTAAACAACAAATCTATATTGAAGAAATAACCTTTTAGATTACAAATTACTGTTTTTAAAACAATCTTCTATATTCAAAATCTTGCTAGAATTTAACTAATATATTTTTTATAGAGATAATGAGACCAACATTGATCAATATAATGCTGTAAATGTTGAAATTAGTAATGAAAGTTTGGACGAAGATGAACCTTCAGAAGAGATGAGAGTGAACTTGATGAAAATATCGATTATATTAGAGATGTTTCTCAGAATGATACTAGTGTAAATCTTCATAATCATGAACATGGTGTGTCTCAAATGCAAAATCATATTTTACCCTATTTTAGGACATTGGAGAATGAGGAAGACATATCATGGCTACTTGTGAATCTGAGTTGGAAAATTGTTCAGTTTGGTCTGAGGAATCCAAAAAGATTTTTAAAAGGTATGTTTTTTTAGTAGTAAAGAAAGTTGAAACGGGCTATAACGACTTGGGGTTTACACAAAAATAAAGAGTTCAAGGTGGTAACGTCAACCAAGAGTCTATGGGTTGTGAGATGTAAGTTTTATAATTTATTGGGTTGCTTGTGGTTTCTTCTAGGGTGAAACGTTGGAGATAAACTTTGGAGTATAGGAAAATATATTGAAAATTATAAATGTGAGACTGAAGGGATTTCTAGATGCCACGCCAACCTAAAAATCAATCTAATTACATCTCAGTTTCTAAATAAATTTAAAAAAATCCTAACTACTTGGTGGTAGATGTCATTTCAAAGGTTCATGAAAACTTTGGCCATCAAGTGACATACAGAAAAGCGTGCTTGAATGTCAACGCGCATTTGAATTGGTGTATGGTGACTTCGAGAAATCATTTAGTGATCTGTCATGCTTGTAAAAATTGTGACTCCCTTAGAAGTGATAATGCTCAGATTACCCTCAAAATAAGTTAAAAGAGTAAGCGGTCGTTAGCAATAAAAATACCGAACTAAGAGTCACAATTGAATTCCACAAGAAACAATTTATCGACAATTGAAAAGACAGAGAATTACAAGCTATTAGCTTGAATCTAAACTTAAGAATACATAATTATAAAAAATATACCAACATGGGTTGTGGTGCACTGGTGGGAGTGTTTCACCCTTAACCAGAGGTCTCGGGTTCGAGCCTTGGGTATGGAGAAAATCCTGTTGGGAGCGCCACCTCCAAATGGGCCTTGTAGAGCGCGATCCAAATTTAGTCGAAGCCCCAATGTGGGCTCCGGACATTGGATGGAAAGGCAATTTTTTTTTTAATAAAAAATATGATGGTTTAGTAACACAAATTAAGATTTTGGGCAAAGAACTAATCAAGCAAGGGATAATTAAGAATTGGAAAATTCAGAACTCAACACTCATTCTACGATCTACTGCAATCTCAACACATGTTAATTCAATCATAGGTAGGCCAGGTCATCTTTAACAACACTAATCTCCTTTTGGTCTCAAAGTGCTATATCATAGAATATTCTTTCGGTCTCAATCATGTAATTCAACACAACAACCCAATACCTTATTTTAGACCTCTCTTTCGAGCTAGTCCTGCATTCAACAAGAAAACCTAAATCTTCTCCTTTCGGTCTTAAAACTCAAGATTCAAAGCTAAAATGTAGTTATTAATTTAATTCTCCACTTCACGAATTCTCTTTCGAGCAACCCACAAAAATAGGAAGCTAGATCTAAGCGTGTTCTTAAATCATAAATTCAAACATGAGAATTAGAATAAACTCAATTTCATGAATAATAAATATGGAATCAAATACAAAAGCAATAGAATGAGAAATCAAAGACCCAAAGAATTTATCTATTTCTAGCACAAACTCCAATCTCAATTAGCAATTACACCCACAATTATATTCATGCAATACAAAGCAAGGGAGAGAAGAGAGGATAAGAAATATTACTATTAGAAACACAATCTCCAATCCAAAGGATGAATTATGAGGCAACTTGCCTTCAAATTCTCAACCCAAAAATAAACTGTACAAGTTTTTTTTCTAAGCTAAACTCTAAGATAATCTTCAATATTCAATGGTGGTATCCTCCCCTGAATAATGACTGCTGGTAAGTGTAAAAAGGTTTTTGAGATCAATTTGGTGAAATTTCCAATCTGCCCAGGTATCAGGCGATTTCTTTATCGCGGTCGCGATAACTTACTCAAGCTATCTCGATGAGTAGTGTCATAAGATCATGTGTTCGCGAACATTGACCACGCGGTCACAAAGTCTGAATTTCTTGACCTACGCGATCGCGACCTCTGTTTCACGTAATCACGATGAATTATCTATTGCCAGTTTC